TATATATATATAAACTTTATAAATACTAATCACTTTTCTCCTATTGTCATAAAGGATAATGATTTTTTAGAAAATGTAATGACAAAGGTGTTGTACTAGCTTCACTAAGCACATGGTCTTGATCATGCTTCACACACATGATATCAAACCATAAGGATTGTTGCCATTTCTCTAAGTATTGTTTAACATGGGATTGTTAATTACTTTTTATTTTGGTAGGCCTCATCAGTTTACTTCAAATGAAGTCTTTAGATTGTTAGTTACTTTTGCCCCAAAAAGTCCAACATCAAGATTTCTATCTAATCGATATTAGATTTTGCTATTCGAAATCTATGATAACTGCCAAACAGTAGTTCAGATTCAATGAAGTTTAATCGAATGTAAGAAAACGATAATTTAAATCCGACAAATATTTAAGTCCATGCAAAAATCAACCATGTATTTTGCAATATTGACCTCGAATGTGAGGTTAGTCCTAGTCCATGCCAAAATCAACCATATAACAAAGGGCATAATTGGGATTTTATAAGGCCTACGTGGCAACTGAACCAGCCAATAAGTTCTTTCTCGTATCTCTAGAGATAACACCATATGCGTATATTGACCCCAAAAAAACATACAATTTGCACAAGAAATAAACATGGCTTCAACTGGTTGTACATCTTTCGCCATTTTGTGCATTATCGGTTGTACTCATAGCAACTATAGTTGTATGACATGGTACAACATTTACAACAATCCTCTTTTTACATCTGAGATATTAATTTGTAAAAAAGAGGAATTAAGCCTTATTCGGAAAGGTCAAAGATGTCATTTAAGTGCTTGTATCAAGAAGGGACAAATGCAAGAATAGCAATGTACTTTTATTTATTTGTTTATTATAGCATTATATTTTCATTTCTTTTTATTAGAATACTGATTTTCATTTTTTTTGTCTTATCAACTCAATGAACTGTGAAAAATCAACCCAACCAGAACACTATACTCTTCATTTTCTTTTTCGTTTTAGGGCATCATATTTTAAAAAATCTACCAAATTATTGCAAAGAAAATTGCTTTGTATTTAAGATGGCAATGCTATAATTGTGACATTTTCTTTTTTGGTAGATTATATTCCAAGTTAAAGTTACTTATATGGCTATTGTAGCAATTACAAAGAGTTGATTATATATGAGGGGTACTTTAGAGTTTTAAGTTGAAGACATTTGATTAAAATCCAACTATTCTCTTAAACTACGTTTTTGTCAAACGTTTCAATTCTTATGGAATATGGCATAGGCAAAGATACAAATACTTTGCTTGATAAAACGCACCGAGTCTTTTTTTTTTTTTTTTCCGATGAAATTATATATGTACAAAGTGGCTAAATGGAAAACAATATTCTAATGGATTGACTTGACCCATGTATACATAATGTCTTTCTTTTCTAAAAGAGATTTAACTTTCGAAATAAGACTAAATGACCATTTTACCCTGACAATCCAAAGAGCAAATTTCACAATACTCATCAAATCTAAAATTAACAGTATTCATCAATTTTAACTTAAGACGAGTTAAAAGAGAAAAGAAAGAAGGGCTAATTGGTAAAGAGTTAAGTGTCTTTACCCTTTAAGCCAAGTTTTTTGGGTTAACCAATTAATTTCATGTCCAAATTAAGTAAAAAAGAAACAACCATACACAACTGTACAGATTAAGTGCTTAATTCATTAAACTCATTAAGTCAAAAAGAAAAAAGATGCTCTTCAACATACAAGTTATAATTACATAAACTTGGTAATTAGCATGAAAGAAACATTCAGGAGTAGGAAGTTTCATACCAGGTATTCTCCATTCTTCCTACTTACATGGGTGTTTGGTAGCGCTTAAAATTGATTTTTGCAATTTGCAGTCATGATAGTTAGTTTGAGTGTTTGGATAAACTGATTATGATTATGATTTATTATTATTATTATTATTATTATTATTATTATTATTATTATGTAGAGTTAAAATGATCATATGATGGATAATCATATGCTATTAACTTTGTAGCATGTTTATCAAACCTCTTTTGTAGAAAATCATCTACCATTCACTTCAATCCTATGGTCCAAAAATCACATTATAAAAATTGTTAGGAAAGTTGGATGTATGATGCAACCAAGTTAACATGTGCCATGTGTGTTCATCAAGCTAAAGATCAAAACAGAAACAAGAACTTTCACATCCTAATTTAAATCGTGGAATATGAACACAATCAACACATATGGAACCTATACACAAAGAACTAAACTTGCATTTGAACATGAATTCACATACCTAAAGACCCTTAATATGCACATCTGAAAGCTACTTCATAGATTAAGGGGGTGTTTGGATTCGCGTTTTAACAAAAAGATGAGGAAAAGTGTCTTCAATTTAGTCTAAGTTAGGGTAAATAAGAATTCACATCATTGACAGACAAATTGTTCATAAAAAATGAAATTATAACCCATTCATAGGAGGATGACCATAAAGATTGAATCAACCAATAACCAGTTTCTAACTATCCAAACAAATTCATATAATTGATTTATAAAACAGAAATTCGAATCATATATGAGTAATTATATGATATGTTAAGTTCACAAAGGTCTAGAATTGATATGTATATATTGATAGAATCATCAAGATGTGATCAGAATGAAACATCTTAATCACACTCCATCAAGTAGTATAATCAACTTACAATACATAACAATACGAGTAATTAGAGTGTAATTGAATCAATAGAGGAGTATATTACAAATCTGAATTTCTTTCAAACATTCAGAAGTAGTAAAAATTTGCTGAATATATTACAATTACAGAAACCCAAATAGGTTACCGGGTTAATAGGGTTGGTTTGGAGGACGAACCGAGATCCGAACAGGGAGAGGCCGACCGGTACCAGAACCGCCACAACTATTACACGCCATCCGGCCGGAACCAGCGCACGTCCGACATCCACGGTCACCGTCTGACCACCGATTACAAAGGCAACTAACCCGACCGGTGCCGTTGCAACTTGAACACCTTTGACCTGAACCTGAATCAGAACCAGGACCCATCATCGGATTCCGATCCATCACTGATTTCAAGAGAGCAGCTCCGGCTAACACGCTCAGACCCGTCGCAATCTGAGTCAAGACAATCGGACCCATATCGGATATTAAAGAATTGAGGTACGTTTTAGAGGGAGTAGAAGATTGATGATAATAGTAGTAGGGGGAAATATGAAGATTTTGTGGGTGAATTGAACTGATATTTTTTTGAGGTTTTGTAATGGGGAAAGATTTAGGAATATAGAGTTCACACGGATCGGGAGGATTGAAGTGGTGGTGGAATTGTACACGTAGAACTAGAAGAAGCGTGTAAATTTGGAGGTGGTGTGCTTGGAAGTTGGAATGTAGTGAGATATGGAGGCAAATGGTTGGCTTTGCTTGTACCTATTTCTCATCCTCTTGTTTGATTATGGTTATTTTGGTTCAAGCAAATTACACAATGTTCTATTGTTCTTGACCTTGCTGTAACAATATGGTTAGCAACTTCATTTATCAATTGAAAATATAAATTGCATTTAAAATCAATATTATTGTATATATATATAGTATCAAAATCAATATATAAATCACTTTGGTCTTATTCGTGTTTTTTAAGAAACAAAATGTTTAAGTTCTGTTTCTACATACGCATAATAACATGTACACCAAAAATCTCTAGTTTATAAAAATATGATTGTTTTTTAAAGTTTATAGACTTTGTTTTTTAAAGTTTATATACTCCATAATGATATTGAAGCACATTGATCATATATTATACTAAACAAAACAAAAAATCAGATGTACATATACTCATTAACCATATTGATTTCTAGATGATAGTAAATGACAGTGATGTTGGTGGTTGCGATGGCAGAGGCGTTGACGTTGACAGAGGTGGTGGCGTTAGTGGAAGTGGTGGCGGTGATGGTGGCGATCATGGCGATAGTGGTAGTGGCAGCGGTCGTGACGGCGTTGGTGGAGGTGGTAATGGCAGACGTCGTGGTGGTGGTGGAGTTAGCGGAGGTGGGAGTATACGAGTTTGGAGTCGATCAAAACCTCATTTGTAGCTTTCGTCACATTTTCCCTTATTCTCTCAGCCATCTTCTCTTCGAATGTCCCTACCAAACTCAGGTCTATCATAAAATGACGATCATGATAGTTAAATTATGTCCCCGACAAGTGGATCAACATTATCGCCATCCTTAATGGGGTCTCAAAAGGTAAGACCATTTGGTCTATTATTTGTCACCTAGTTCTTGCATATACCATCTACCATCTATGGATTGAATGAAACATATGATCTTCAAGAATAAGAGAATATCATGTGAAACAATGGTCAAGACTATTATCAATGATATTCTCGTTCGACACTCTTGAGCCTAAACTTCAAGCCTTCCCCAAAAAAAGTTACTAAAGCTAAAATGTTAAATAGTAGAGACTGGTTCAACCTTTGACTTTATAGCTATTAGGCAGACCAAACATGGTTGAAAGAGCGGTCAGGGTCAAGGGGGAGCTGCCCTTTTCGAGGGTCGAGAGTAGCACCCCTGGAAGAAATTTTTCATGGAATAGTTCCTTTATCAAATTCAACATCAAAATGAGTCATGGGCCAGATTTGTCACAGTTTTTAGGATTGTCCTTATTGGCAGTTTAGGTCAATATATATATATATATATATATATATATATATATATATATATATATATATATATATATATATATA